AGTTAGTAGGTTGCAGAATATGCACTTAGTCACTATCAGTCATGCTCTCCAATCCCAGTGGGAAAATATAGTTCATTTTTAGTTATTTGAAGTGTGGTGCTCTACGAAAGCTCTGAGATAAAGACTGTTATGCCAGATAACGTCCAAGCAGCAAGAAACATGCAGGGTTTAGGCTCCCAGGCTCATACAAGGTCCCACATGAAAGTTAATGTTAGTAATCCTACACTAAGGGCACAGACATGCTTTCCAGCTGAAATTCTCTTTCCAGTTATGTATGAGGCAGAGGGGAAAGAAACACACAGAGAAAGTACTTGTGCGTGGTGCTCATGCTTTCAGTGATCAGCCAGATCCCATCTAGCATTTGTGATAGTCTTTATCTACTCAGAGAGGCAGTTGAGGCGGGTGTATTTATAGAGGCTCTTCTGCTTGTGATTTGTAATTTACAGGCTCAGTGCCCAAAGCATTCAACAGCCACTCATAATTACATTTCACATAAAAAACTCCTACATTAAAGGGACATTATCAAGGCTGTAAGGTCCAGTGCTAAATACTTAGGCAATGCCCAAATGAAGATTGTCTTTGCAACTTTAATTCAGTCTCCTAATACATATGTATTATAGTATGGCTTCTCACTGCATGATGACACAGTAATTTTTTACTATCCCACCATTTGCTTCATCAGTACATGGAGTGGGCAGTGCTCACTTAATGAGCCAGTATTAAATATTTTGCTTTCTCCTCCTTGAATGCATGGCCCCAAGCTATTTAAATCATGTTCAGAAGAGAAAAATCTTAATTTCCTTATGAGCTTTTCATTGGTGCTCCACTAAAGTATATGAATACTTTACAATATTAATGGATTTATATCTTCTTGAAATTCCTACTGAAAGAAAAGAATGATTCTCCCTGTTTCACAACTAAGAAAATAAGACAAAATGATCAAGAGCAAAAAGTAGCTGTTTATTTTGAGTGCCCAAGTCAAGACAACATGAAACTGAGTTTTAGAATAGTTGCTGTAGGCATCATGTCGTGTTCCAAGCACATCTTCCACTGATTTCTACAAATTAAGCAACCACTTAGATACTTCCACTACTCAGGAATCACAGCCTGAAAAACAGCATTCAGGAAAAGAGAGATTGCAGCTGCTGAGAAGCTGAGAAAAGAGTGATTTAAGCCACAAAAATAGGAACTTTGAACATGCAATCTGGGGCAGTAACCTGTGCCTTTGGGGTGCAGAAGACAGCAACCTTTTCTTGGCATCATTCAGTGCAGCCCTTACATTCTGCAGCATGTGAGGAAAGGACGTCACAGCAAACAGCCTGTTCTACTATCTGCTACAGATCCTCTGTCCCACTGAGTGATTGCCTTTCTCTTTTCTTCTCTTTTTTTATTTTTTTTTCTTTTTTCTCCCTCTTATTCCCCCTTTTCATTTCTCCTTTTTCCTGATATTCTCCTCTTAATTTGTACTTTCTTACCAGCTCGTCGGGCAACTCTTCTCACAGTGCCCACTCTGGTGACAGCAACCTCTGAGGATGACATAGACCGGAGACCCATCAGAAGACTTCGGTCTAAGAGTGACACCCCTTACTTGGAAGAAGCTAGGATCTGCTTCAACCTTGATAATGGTAAGACCATACCTTCCCCAAACATCATATGATGTTAATTAAAGACTTTTTTTTTTT